TCGGCTCAGGTCATGATCTCATGGTTCGTTGGGCTCTGTGCTGACAGCTCAGAGCCTGGAGCCTGCTTCGGCTGCTGTCTCCCTCTCTCTTTCTGCGTCTCCCCCGTTTGTGCTCTGGCTCTTTCTGTCTCTCAAAAATAAATAAATGTTAAAAATTTTTTTTAAAATTTTGAAATCCTGGTGGACACCCCTTTGTGCAAAGTGGTGAAGGACACCTATTGAAGGTAGCAACACCCTGCAGCAGCCAGTCTTTTTTTTTTTTTTTAATTTTTAATGTTTATTTTTGAGAGAGAGAGAGAGAGAGGGAGGGAGAGAGAGAGAGAGGGAGAGAATGAGTGGGGGAGGGGCAGAGAGAGAGGAGACACAGAATCTGAAGCAGGCTTCAGGCTCTGAGCAAGCGGTCAGCACAGAGCCCGATGCGGGGCTCGAACTCACAGACCGTGAGATCATGACCTGAGCCGAAGTTGGATGCTCAACCAACTAAGCCACCCAGGCGCCCCAGTTTTGCCTTTTTTTTAAAAGAAACACTCATTTTTTGTAATCAAATATATATGTACATAGTTTATTTAAAGAGTTGTAGTTCTACAAAATTTGTTATGGAAAGTGGCAGTCTTCCATCATTTCCTTGTGTTGTTTTTTTTTTTTACTCGCTAGAGGCAGACGCATGAAACGCTTTTGGCTGATTTTTTTCGTTTGTGTTTTTGATATCACCAAAGAATATGGTTATATTGATCCTGTCTTTGATTTTTTCAGTTTTAGGCACTTTGCCTGACTTCCCTTTGCCGAGAATCAGGCTTTACCCTCCCATCCTGCCCCTGTGGCTCCACACGTGCCCCTCCCCACCCCCCAGGTTCTATCTTTGCCCGTTTTTTTTTTTTTTTAATTTTTTTTTTTTCAACGTTTATTTATTTTTGGGACAGAGAGAGACAGAGCATGAACGGGGGAGGGGCAGACAGAGAGGGAGACACAGAATCGGAAACAGGCTCCAGGCTCCGAGCCATCAGCCCAGAGCCCGACGCGGGGCTCGAACTCACGGAGCACGAGATCGTGACCTGGCTGAAGTCGGACGCTTAACCGACTGCGCCACCCAGGCGCCCCTATCTTTGCCCGTTTTTACGGACTCGTTCTCCCTGCCTCAGTGCCCGGGGCTCTTCCGGCCATGGCCACCAGCTGTCCAGGTCAGAAATTTGGGCTCCTCTGTAACTCCCTTTTCTCTTAACCCTCTATCCATTTTTCCGCCACCTCCCACTCCTGGAATTCTGTCAACTCTACCTCTGACAAAGCTCTTAAACCCATCCAGTTCTGTGTGTATTGCCACAGTCCCTGCCCTGTCACCCTCCCGGCTTGCTCAGGATACGGCAGGTGTCCTAGTCCCCTTGCTTCCTGTCATCCCTCCCTCTTCTGTCTTCTTGACCTTACAGCCAGAGCGAGCTTCCCCAAAATGCCAACTGGACCATGCGATTCTCGTGCTTAAAACTTTGAGCGCACGGGGGACGTTTCGAATTCCTTATCGTGGTGGGGTGGACACAGTACTTTGTTTCCCGTGGCATCGTGTCTTGCTGGCACACAGACCACCTTTGCTCGCCGTGAAGGTGGGGGTCGCGTGGAATGTGAGGGGAAGCAACGTGTCCTTTCCAGGCCCAGGGAGTTGAGAGCAACACGCTTAGGATGCCTCTTCTCTCTTCTGCAAGGGGCCTCCCAGGCCCATGTTCCAGAAGCTGTAGTTACAGAGTTGGTGGGGGGGGCTTCCCTCCCCCCATCGGACTTTACACAAGTGAGAAATAAGTCTTGGTTACACTGAAGCCCACGGAGCTTTGGGGTTGTGTGTGGCTGCGGTATAGCCTGTCGTAACCTGGAGCGACACCAGGAATGAAGAAGGCCCTCTGGGGCCTGGCCTTGCTTCTCCCTGATATTATTTCTCTTCTCCTTGCCGTGGGCTCTGTTTTCCAGCTTTGACAGGCCAGGCTCTCTCCTGCTTCCAGGCTTCACATGTGCAGTTCTTGTCGCTAAGAATGTCTTCTCGTTACTTACCCCCTCTTTGCCGCGTGGCCTGGCCAATCCCAACCAGCCTTCGAGCCTCGGCTCGCGCGTCTCCTCTTACAGGGACCTTACAGGATTCTGCACCACCCCCTGGGTGAGGTGCCCTTCCTCTGTGTCCCTTAGCATCCCCCGTCCACCCTTCACTTTCCACTCCGTCCTGAGGTGGCCTGATTACTTGTGTCCCTGCCAATCCAGATGCTCCCTGAGTGTCTTAACCCTGCCTGTTCTTTGTGGTTTCTTAGGGCCGGTCAGGGTAGGTGCTCAGTCCATTTTGTTGTGGGAAGATCCAGGGGATCTTAGAGGTTATCGTGAAAAACTGCAATTCAGATTTCTTTTGCCAAGATCTTCTTGGTAATTTATATTCCTGGGGCGCCTGGGTGGCTCAGTTGGCTGAGCCTCCGACTTCGGCTCAGGTCATCGTCTCATGGTTTGTGAGTTTGAGCCCCGCTTTGGGCTCTGTGCTGACAGCTCAGAGCCTGGAGCCTGCTTTGGGTTCTGTGTCTCCCTCTCTCTGCACCTCCCCTGCTTGCGCTCTGTCTCTCTCTCTCAAAAATAGATAAACATTAAAAAAAAAAAAAATCCTGAGAGATGGTACTTGTTGCTCATTGGGAGAAAGAGTTTGCAGTCAGACACAGCTGGTCTCATTTCGGTCTTTCTAGCTGTGTAATGTTGAGCAAGTTACTTAACCTCTGAAGCCCCAATGTCATTATCTAAGGGGGATAATAATAGTAACCATCTCACAGAGTCATTGCGATAGGGTTAGTGTCACAACGAAATGAGCTGGTATATAGAAGCACTTAGAAGAACCCTTGCCCCATACATGTTAGATATTTTGTGAAGAATGTCCCAAGTACAAATGTGGGATTAGACCCTGGAACAGAAACACGGGAACAGCCAGGGGCATCCGAATGAAGTCTGAAGTTAAATTCCAGCTTTGGGATTTCTTATTTTGATAGATAAACCACGGTCGTGGGGGTAACTTTATGGGGAATAACTTTAGGGGAAACCCGGTGAGGGTATATGTGGAAACTGTGTTCTACCTTTGTAACTTTTCTTTTTTTTTTTTTTAATCCTTTAATAGTTTTTATTTTTATTTATTTATTTATTTATTTTTATATTTATTTATTTTTTATTATGAAATTTATTGTCAAATTGGTTTCCATACAACCCCCAGTGCTCATCCCAACAGGTGCCCTCCTTAATGCCCATCACCCACTTTCCCCCCTCCCCCCCCCCATAAACCCTCAGTTTGTTCTCAGTTTTTAGGAGTCTCTTATGTTTTGGCTCCCTCCCTCTCTAACCATTTTTTTTTTCTTCCCTTCACCCATGGTCTTCTGTTAAGTTTCTCAGGATACACCTAGGAGTGAAAACATATGGAATCTGTCCTTCTCTGTATGTAACTTTTCTATAAGCCTCAAATTCTCCCAGGATGTTGCATTATTATTTATATATTCACATTATTCTTATAATATCCCTTTATGATGTGGGCACTATAAGGATGGCCATTTACAGATGAAGAAACTGAGGCAGAGAGAAGTGAAATAGTTTGCCCCTGGTCACCTCTCACAATCTGCATAACAGAGTAGGAATGATCAGTGGGTTGTGATTTCAATAGGATGTGATAATGAACTCTTATGGAACCCCTCCTTTTGTGTAAGGCACCTCCCTACACACTGTGTCAACAGAGAATACCAGGAGGTCTCGGTCCTAAAGCTCATTACAAGCAGGGGGTAAGGGCAGAATCGGGGGACAGGAACCTAGCCCCCGATTCAGGAGCTCCTACTCTTAACCATTACACTGGACAAATCTGGGGGAAATCATGTGGGATTCACAGAGGAAGTGCAGAGGTAAGGAAGATCTGGTTGGGAGTTTAGGGACAGCTGGCTTCATGGGTAGGGCCTTCGATCAGAGGCTTGAATGGGTCTTGGGGTTCAGCCACGCCTGTCAGCTCCTCCCTTTCCCTTCCTCCGGCCAGTCCTGAGAGGCGGATCGTACTTGTATACACTTGGCTCTTCTGTTTAGCGCTTTATGAAAGACGGGAGCTCATAGTACGCAGGGCACAGGCTTCGGGGTCAAGCGGCCTGGGAATCAGAATTCCTTTGGCTTCTCGTCAACTGTTTGATCCTGAGCTGGTTCCTTAGCCTCTCCGAGCTTCAGGAAAACGAGGGTAACAGCGACCACCTGACCTGCGGTTGTGAGGGCTGACCTGGAGAGAAAATGCATACAATGCTGGGGGTGAGGCTGGGTGCCGGGGAAGGGCTCGGTAAGTGGTGGTCGCCTCTGGGTTTCACTCCTTTGTCTCATACAAGGCTTACGTGGTGAGTCCTTGGCTGCATTGCCAAACATTTCTTGGGGAGGCAACCTCATGGAAAGGAAAGAACATGGACTTTGGGGGCTGTGCTACTGACCTGTTGGGTGACCTCAGTCCCTTGTTTAACCTTTCTAGGCCTCAACTTTTCACTGTCAACTAGTATCCGTACCATGGGATGGTGGTGACAGTCTTGAGACGGGGTGTGAAGTTGGCCCGTGGGCGTGTTTCACTGATGTCAGCTCTGATCACTGGGTCTTGCGTTTTTCTCCATTTCATTCATATTAGTCTTGACTTGCCCCAAACTGTTTGCTCTTTGGGGACTGGTCTTCAGTCTTGTGTTTCTCATATCCCTCCCGCCAGCCAAGGCATAGTAGTTGCTCATTAAATGAGTCGGCCTGCATCCGGGGCAGGCTTCCTCTGCATTGAAGAGGGTGCAGCAGCCTTGTTCTATGCCATCCTGCGGAGCTCACGGAGGTGTCCTTGGGCTGGTGGAGCAGGAAGGGACCAACTTGTGAAATGGCCACCAAACATTTTATTTGCTTTACTAATAGGCGTCAGTGTCTCAGACAGCTGTGAGGGAGTGGGAGGGGAGGGCGGAGAGAAGGCGGGGAGCCTTGGGAAAGGCACGTCCGAGAGCCGTCTCGGGCCGCTAAATCAGCTGAGGGAGCCCGTCCTGGGCCGAGTCCACCCTGCTTCTGAAGATCCGCCCGCTGACGTTCCCCCGCTGGCCGTGTTCGTCCTCGGTCTCGTCTTCGCTCGACTTGCGCCGGGCGTTCTGGTAGAGCACAGCACACATGCCTGTGAGCCAGGCGGCCACCGTGCCCGCCGAGAAGATGCAGAAGCCGATGAGCAGCAGGAAGAGGTAGTCCTGGCGGTCCAGGTGCGTGATGCACATGTAGCGGAGCGGGTTCCCCACCTGCGTGATGGGCCACCCCGCCAGCTCCGTGGGCTCCGTGCACGTGGCATTTTGATCATCTACGAGGAAAAACACAGCAGGCACAGAGCTGAAACCGCAGAACCTCCAGGGTCCTAAGTGCAAAGGGGACCCGGAGAGGCCTCGCGGACCCGGGCTACTCAAAGTGTGGTCTGCGGGCCAGCAGCACCGGTTGGACCTCGTTAGAAACGCAGGACCTCAGGCACCACAACAAACCTCCCAAGGCAGGATGCGGGTGTGAACGAGACCCCCAGGTGGTATGTGGGCACAGCAAGGTTTGACAAGTACCGCACCAGCCCTGCTTCTTGTCCCCCCCCACCCCGCTTCCGGCTCCGCTGTGTTCAGTGGCCTCCTGGGAATGCTCTTGGCTCCTTCAGGATGCTCAAGGGATGAGAAACCACAACAGGGGCTGAAAGATCCCCCTGGAGTGTTGACCCCCCACCGACATCCATCACCTCCCTCCCGCCTCCCACCTTTCCAGCCACCTTGTCCCTTTTCCCTGGGCCTGACTGAGTCCTGCCAGGGACCACTGAGGCATCACACCCGGCTCAACTCTCCGGAGGGACAAGATTCCCCAGAAATGCCTCCCGTGTGTCCTCTGCGCAAGACGTCGGGGTGCGGGGAGCTCAGGGGAGAGGCTAGCCAGGAGGAGGAGCGGCTCTGCTTCTCCATGGTGAGGTCAACATCACTGGCTCATCACGTGATCCACATGAGTCTTCGGTCCTTTTTAGCAGCCGACTCAGCTGCCTGGCTACTTCTCTTAGCCCCTCCCTGTGTCAAGCGTCGTGGACTTGAGTATATGACAGAAAGCAAACTGGGCCCTGGATCCAGACAGACCAGACCAGGGTTCAGACCCAGACTGTCACTAAGTTTGTGAACTTCGGCAGGATGTCCATTTCCCTCTCTGAGTCCCATTTCCTCACCTTACACGGGCCGGGCCATGAATGCTACCTGCTCTCAGGGTAGTCGAGAGGATTTCATTGCCGCAGGCGGGAAGGCAGGCCTGGTGCTCAGTAGTTGCACAGAAAACTCAGAGCTCTGCCCTCAGCCCTGCATCTTCCCAGCTCTACATGCTCCTCCGTGCTGAGGCAGAGGTGTGTGTGTGTGTGTGTGTATGCGTGCCAGGGGACTATATCCAGCAGGCATCACATAAATGCCCTCCAATGCAGGGTGAGACCAGGGCTTGAGATAATCATGCCCCCAATTATAATAGCAGCTACTATGTGCCAAGCTCAGACTACATGCTAAGTGGTATACAAAGGTCTTGTTTAATTCTTACAGCAGCTTTGACGCACACAGTGCTATCATTCTTGTTTTGCACATAAGGAAACCGAGACTCAGAGACGTTTCTAGATAACCTGAAGGATCCAGGCAGGAGACAAGACACAGAAAACACAGACCGAGCTCTCTAAGCTCATTTGTAGACGTGGGAGACACAAGCCTGCTCGTGTGGAGAGATGCTTCTCCTAAACTTTAGGGCAGAAGCTCCCAGATGGGTGAAGGCATTCCGATCCTTGGGTGACCAAGGAAGTTAGGGAAATCGGGTTTGGACTGGAGCTATAGCAGCAGAGGAATTAGAGAAAGGGGTTACAGAAGTGAGCCAAGTGGCAAGGAGGCTGTTGGGCCTGGGTGGCCGGAAAGAGCTGACCAGGCTGGGCGCCCTCAAAGTCCACCGAACACCCATCCCCTGCGCCTTGCTTCTGCCCCAGTACACCTGCAGTGAGGGTTGTTGCTTTCAGGAAGATGGCCTGAAAGCTGTGATGTGGTCGAGGACTGGCTCTTGGTGGAACCTGTAGACACAGGAAGGGAAGCCATGGGCTGTCACCTCCGCTATGTGCAAAGATTACGGAGGGAAGGAGAGGAAGAGGCCCTTTGGGCGACCCTGCCCTGCCCGGGGGAGAGCTCTCAGGAGAGGAAAATGGGCTGGGGCCCTGGGATCCATGACAACTGCTGTCAAGGGGCAGGACCACAATCATGCCTGGAGGCCTCTCTCCAGTCAGCCTGGCTTAGCGATTTGCCCAGGAGGCCCCAGAGTGGGGGCAGTGGGCAGCTGGGGGCTTCTGGCCAGGCTTCGGGAATTCTATCAAGAGAGGGCTTGGGGCATCTCTCCAAACTGCCAGAGACCCGACATGGGACTATACAGAGAAAGATGTATTGGAGGAAGGAAAATGTGAGATTCTGTGGGTCCGGGTGTGTCTGGGGAGGGGGGGGTTATCATTCTATTTTAAGAAGATTCGGCTTTCAAATTGGGGCTTGGATGGCAGAGAGGAGACTAAACACGAAACACCGTTTCCCCATTTTGGAGCGTTACCTTGAAAGGGGCAATTAGCAGTGATTTTAAGGCTTTGTTAGGTTGCTCTTAAGTGCGGGATGTGGGTGGCTCTGCGGGGAGGGAGGTCTGGGTTTTTCTGCTGCTGTATTCTCTCCCCCTCCCCGCTCCCCAGTCACTGCCAAGGTGGGAGCCTTCCTACCTCCCAGCAGGTCCCCCTAAATCCACTTTCCCCCATTTTCCCCATTTCCCAGCTCTGGACCGTGTCACACACACCTGCCAGACTGCCCTTCCTCAAGCACAGCTCTGTCGTGGCACACTGGCTCGAACCCTCCTCTAACTCCCCCGTGGGCCTGGGAATAACATCCAGACCACCTGGCCTGGCGTTCAGAGCCCTCAGCATCTGCCCCCTTCTACCTCGCCCTCCTTTAGCACTCCAGTGCCCCTCCCTTTGCTCCAGTCAAATTAAACTATTAATTCCTTGATTACATCTTACCCCTGTTGTAGTGAGCTTTGTTCCACCACTCTTTCTGTATCAAATGCCTCCTCCTGCAAGTTTTGCATGATCAAGTCCTTCCTGTCCTTCAAAGTCTGGTGTGAATGCATCTGCTCTCAGGGTGCTCCCACAGCCCCCTCGTCCTCATAGCTCAGACTACATGTGATTGTCCCCCTTCCTGAACCATCCATAGCATTCTCACTGTGCCTATCGCATTGCCTCTTGCCGGGGGGTGGTGGTGGGGTACTTGCCAGAGGAGGAGTGTATCTTTTCTCCCCCACCCAGCAGACAAAACTCTTGAAGGCATAATCCATATCTTCTCATTCTTGTTCTTGTTCAGAAGACATTATCATTTATTGAAAGAAACACTTATTTTGGGGGGATTTTCTAGTTTGTATTTTCATTGTTGAATCCTACTTGAATTCTGTGGGCAGAGACATACTCTGTATGATTTCAGTCCTTTGAAATTTATTGAGAATTTGCTTGATAAAGCCAATTTTAGTAAATTTTGCACGTGCCCCCCAAAAGATGTGTATTCTGTCTTTGCTGAGTACGTCGTTCTGTGAATACCAACTAGGATGTGATTTTGTACAGGTCTTCTGTATCTGTATTGGCTTGTCATTTATATCTTTACTGGCTTTTTATCGATAAAAACGATTGTCTCTTGGTTACTATGAGTTCATTAATTGTCTATTAGTTACCGCAAGAAGGATGTTAAAGTCATCGGTTTTGGCTGGGTATTTACCTACTTCTTCATATCGTTCTGTCATGATTTGCTTTACGTATATTGAAGATATGTTATTAGATGTGTAGAATCTTCTGTTACCTCTTTCTTGCCTCACTGAACATTATCTCTCCTTATTCCTAGCAGCGCTTCTTGCCTTAAAGTCTACTGTCTTTGACATTAGTATGGCTCTATTGAATTTCTTTTGGTTAGTGTTTGCATTATCTTTTTCCATCCATTTACTTTTATCTACATTCCTATGTTTAAGATACATTTTTGTAAGCAGCATATAACTGAGTTTTGTTTTCTATCCAATCTAACAAACTTTGTATTGTAATTATTCCGTTAACATTTAATGTTGGACTGATATATTTGTTTTCAATTTGTCCCACATACTTTCTCTCTTTCTCTCTACCTTGTTGCTTTTTATTTTATTACTTCGTGTCCTTTTTGCTAGCTTGATAGTCATACATTGTTTTTCTATTCTGGCCTAATGACATTAGAGATTATAGGCCCATCTACTGGTCTTGGAGTGCCTGATATATGCTGGGCACCATAGAATGTGCTTTTCAAAGTTAAATTCTACTCTGACCACTCCACCAGGTAGTTTTAATCATTCCCATGCTACAGAATGAATAAATTGTTTGTCAATTATTCCCTCTCTGGCTTTCTTGATTTCCTTTCCTCTGACAAAGAGCTACCAAGTACTGTTGTATATGCTGTGCACTGCACAATTCTGGGGCCTTCATTCATATTGGAAACAGGTTACTAGACTCCACGTCATCCTTCTGTCAGCCCCACTTCATGGGCGCAGGGCATTTGTTCCAGTTAGAGCACCCAGGTACGATTACAGGCGTCATTGATGTTTAAACTCTTCCTGCAAATAGTTCCTAAGGAAATGTAAACTCCCCCCCTTGTTTATTGCCACACATAGCGTGTTACTCACAGGCAGAAAACCCATCTGCCAGAATCACATGTCTGGAGGAGCAAGAGCTTCTGTGGCTCAGAACCACACCTGTTGGCGCAGGAGCCCAGGAAGCCTCTGTCTCAGAAAACTGGTTTGAACCCAGTGGTTGTAAGGCAAACTGTTCCTTTCTTGGCCTGCAGGGACCACAGTTCTGACCACAGTGCTGCTGCAGGTTCCCAGGCCTGAGTCTCCAGAGGAGCCAAGTGCAGGCTCAGAGCGCCCCCCCCACCCCCACCCCCGACCCTGTGCTGGTGTGCGTGTTCGGGAACCATCTGGGCTGAGTGGAGCCTCCACGTGGTGGCAACGTACGATGAAGGATGGAATTTGGAGACTCCCTCCTCTACTAAACTGTGTTTGCTATCACCCTCAGGGTGCAGCACCGGTTTCCAACAGCTTTAGCATTTTGGTCGTAAGACTTCCACCTTGAACCCCGAGAAAAGACCTGCTTCCTCCATTTCTCCTTATTAGGCCCTAGCTTGCCCGATCATCACTAGATGTATAGTTGGCCTTATTTTTTTCTCCAGCTAATTATGCATTTGTCAAGGAAGTGGATTTACCTCCTACTCCTTCGTCTGCCTCCACCCG